ACCAACCCAGCCACCCGCATATGATTCTCATTCCTAATGCCCACCATCTCCCCTTCCAGTGCTGACAGTGATTTAGTTGTTCAGTCCTCCCCTCAACTCCTAGCTACAGTATAATTTCAACTGTATTGATGTAGAGAACTGGAAAGAATTTATCGGATGCTTGCCAAATTGTATTTTGACCAGAGAGAAAAAGTTAATTTATAAGAAAGGGAGAGTGTTGCGTCAGAAGGATGATCCGTCTGAATGGGAGAACGAGCGAGAGAGAGAGTGGAAAGAGTGATGCTGAGAACGTTGAGTGAAAGTGTGACAGCATATCCGCGCGAAAAATGTCTTCCATTCACTCATATGACTCCGTGAACTTCGTGTAACTCAAAACACTCTAGAGGAAGGGGAAACTAACATAAATATGGGCTGTGTAAGGGAGTGGCTACTACCAGGGCAAGTTAAGATTGACCACATTCTCTAGCTGTCTGCATAGATCGGGTTTCCTACCGTGTCTGCAGCCTATTTCCAAGTGGCATAATGTTCAAATTCTTAGTGCCCGAACAAGTTCTGGGAACGCAGTTTTAGGGGGTTAACGTAGTGACCTCCATCTAAGAGGTGTTTCTGATAGATGAATGGGGGAATTTATGTTACTGCTTTGGAAGTCAGCCACATGCATTTCCATGTAAATCTATGAGGATCCACCTCAGACCAAACCACGTCATCACATAGATCGCCATGAACACACGAGCACGCTCCACCTCACCCTCCACAGGCACGGAATAGGCCGTCTCACGTACAGTAGGTGGGCTAAATCATGAAATGTCAACCGAAATTCCTAAATGCGTTTCCGCTTCGAAAAGATTAATTAAGAAGGGTTGTAAGACCAATCATCATCCAGCATAATTCCATAATAATTCAGTTACCCCAGGATGTCGGCTTTCGAACAAACTGCTTTTTGGCTGCAACCAAAAACCATACTCCGTAAAAAGGACTACTTAAGTAGCATACATTTACCTATTGATTTTCGGTGCCCCCAAAAGTCCAATTATATTTCATGGAAAAAATGCATAAAAATATTCATTCTTTTGCTCATTCAGTAGAAACTTACGCATTCTTTCAATTTTACACTCGAAGGAAAGGTATACTTCGGTTTCGGTTAACAATGTGGTTCAAGTCCACTGCTTAATTTTATGGACCCTATATGGTCCCCCTTTAGTACCGCAAAGAAATGTACGGTTTTCCGTACGCGGAAATTATACGGCTTGTAGTTTGGGAACTCTAAATGCAAGTGTAACAGCAGGTCGGTTCAAAATTATTCGGAAATTGGAAAAGTTTTACAAAACCAACTTATACCCCTCCTTCGAGTGTAAAATTGAAAGAAGACGTTATTTTCTACCGAATGAGCAAAGGAATGCATATTTTTATGTGTGTTTTCTATGAAATATAATTGAATCTTTAAGGGCACCGAAAATAAATGAAAAAATGCATGTTACTTAAGTAGCCATTTTTAAGGAGTATGGTTTTTGATGCAGACAAAAAGAAGTTTGTTTGAAAGCCAGCGTTCTGGGGTAACTGAATTGCTATAGGCTTATGCTGCATGATGATTGGTTTTACAATCCTACTTAATGAGTCTTCTCGAAACGGAAACGCATTTCGGAATTTCTGTTGACATTTCATGAGTTAGCCCACTTACTGTAAGTGACAGGCGTTTTCTTCGACTTCCTCTTCATGTCGCCTCTATGGTACTCTAACGAATGTGAGATTCGAGCTGCGTATCCCTTGTGTGAAAACTCGGTGTGCTGTGTAGGACCAAGGCGCGCATAGCGCGAGCGCAGACGGGCTGCTTAGCTTTTCCAGCCAAGCCCTACATCAGATGGCTGACAAAAGAGAGGTTGAGGCCGACTCCGGCCACTGCGGCCCCACGGCAGTCACCTCCTCCTGCAAGCAGTCTGACGCGCTTTTAAACCATCATGGTGCACTAGAAATCGTGGCTTGAAATGCTGCCGACTGTCGGGCTGACTCAGTCCGCCTCTCATGACGAAGAGTTAGGCTGCAACATCTTCTCAACACGGCCTCTCTTGCACTTTCACTTAGATGAGATCTAACGTCCACTGCTGTTTGTTTCCGTGGAAACCAGGTCCGTCATGTAGGGGCAGGGCGTGCGTGGTACGCGTAAATGGGTCGTTCGGTCTGATCGTGTTTTTGGTATTCTTGACTCTGTCTTGCCACCGGGACCAGTTGGATGGCTGGAGGTTATAGTGCGGTAAATGCATCGCAAGTCTATAAGCTAATTCACACGTATCCACCATCGCTGCACCCACCATGCCACGTGCCAGACGGTGGACATTGTCAGTAGCGAGGCCATTTTGCGCCTAGGAGTGGAACAGCAAAGACACCGATAGGACGGGGAAGTTTGTTAGCGGCGTGCCAAGGCCAGGGGTTTACGTAACAAAGATCAGGCCCCTCACAAATGAGTAAAAACGAGAAGGCCGAGTAGCGGCAGATCGCACTAACTGGCCGAGCATTCAAATCAGATGATGATTTGTGCGTCTAAAGGGACACAAATGTAGATCGGAAATCGAGGATTAGCGCGTGGGTGGGTGGGTTCCATCACCCACTCACCGCTTAGACTACAGTGACGAGCAACCAGTAGATAGGAGAAGAAACCAAATGTACGCATTCCGCCCCCCCCCCCTTATACGCACATCCAAACCAGATCAATGAACGACACTCGGATAAGATTTACTATACCCCCTGACTACGGGTGACAGTATGGACTTGTCAATTCCGGGGTGGTGAGTGAAGTTTAAAAGGTCTGAGTGGAATGCCGACACATTTACAATGCAGATTAGCGTCGAAGAGAATTCCAAACTACCTGAAACAAGGTGACTAAAGCTCTTGGCGTTCATATATTGCAATTTCATACTGGGAAAATGTCTGATCACCGTGTATTCCAAACCATCATGTTTGCAAAAAAATGAGGTGAAAAAGGCAATTTTCAACAATAACTTCGAGGGTGACCATGCTTTTTAAGAGTTAATAACCGAGAGTTTAGTTCATTTGGGTATCATGTCAAAATACGGTAGATACTACGCAAGTCTGCCTCGCATAAACTGATTTACACATAAATCACCGGTGCTAGACTCACTCCTTGAGGCAAAAGCGGTGGATGCCGACATTCGCGACGGTCTAACTGTCCATAGTTGACATTAAAGTTAATTGTTTGCCCTGGCTTTTGAAAAATTGCAACTGATTTTCCCAAGATTTTGCTACCATTGTCATTTGTACTTCCTAAAACACATCCATACTACTGTTCTTGTGCCGCCTTAGCGGGATACCCTGACTCATAACGTTAGAGTAACTTTAATTATCCGCGAGCTGGCTTTACCCGCATTTACTTACCTGTCTGTGTCTGAGACGCAAATCCGCAGTTTATCATGAAAGCACATTTAACCAGTTAAGTAATTTGGCTCATAGGTTTTTCTAATAGAAATAAGCCTCACCTATCTGCTCTGGTGCACAAAGACCAATGTAGAATTAATGGCACAAATTCGGCGATATGGCCGAGAATGCCCATCGTGTGCTCCACAGCAGAATGAATTAGTTTATAGTGATTGTAGACTTGCACTGCATCTACCGCACTCTGTACTCCTCCCCCACCTGAGTCCGGTGTCAAGACAGGGTCAAGAAGACCGGAGGCGGGGGAGAGCGCAAGTGGATGGCACGGTCAAGACCGCATCTTGGCGCTCCACTCCACACCCCCTGGTCCACGCAACAAATGGGCAGGGCCGTAGGGGTCCCAAATTGCGCGACGTCTGCCGGCAATGGGTCAGCCACCGCACCCCGATATGTGGGCATATGTTATGGTGCGCATATGGATAACGTCTGTCGAAATCAGATATGGCCCCCGTGTTGGTCCAGCGCATCAACTACGTGGCCAGTTAGGGAGGGGCACGGTCGAGCCCGCACTTTGACGCTCCATTCTACATCCTCTCACCCGCACAAAATGTGATCAGGATTTAAACCAGCAAAACAAAAGTGGGCGTCAACGCGGCCGAAGCCGCACCTAGACGTGCCGTCACACCCGGCTCGGATCCCAAGGAGTGGAAGGGCCAAAACGGCCACATTAATAAGTAGCCATTGCAGCCTGACTATTGGACCACTAGTCGGCCGCCCCACAAAAATACACAACACTGGGCCGGCTACCGAGTCCTTGTTATCTTGTCAGCTGGCAACATTCCAAGCCACGGCTTTTAAGTTCCCGCGACAGCGTCTAGCGCGTCAGATCGTTAATAGGGAGGGAAATGCGCTGAGTAGTCGCCCTCATTCTCCCTTCCCAGTTCCAGGTCCCAGTCACTGTTCGAGCCGGTCCGGTTACAGGTACGGGGAATGGGCGTGGTGGCTGACATATCTAGTGACCTTGTCTGCACGCGCCACATGAAAAAACTGACCCCCAAACACAAGCACCAGGATTTCACATAACGGGGATTGAACGGTGTACATCTCACAGGCGTGAGATTGGCGTAGGTCACGTTAAGAAGGAGCTGTTTCAGCCTGGCTCTCAACTCACCAGTCCGCCATTCCACACCACATATAGGCAGACTGCGTGGACTGAGTTGCGGCGTCGGTCGGCAGCCTTCCAAGCTACAGCGCCTGTCCCGCCGTGGTAGTCTCAAACTCGAATCACACATACAGCGGAGAGGCGCATGGAGACGTAGCCGAGACGCACACTTCCCACTTGCGTGGGAGGTGCCAATTGGCTGGTTGTGGTGGATGATGATGATGCTGCGTGATGTAGGTGGAGGGAGATGTGATGGTGTGGTTTAACCGACGGTTGTCTACTGCAGGTTCTTCTGAATGCGCAAGTTGTGCTAGTTGTGTCTACAGTGCGGTGAATTCCGCTCTCGTGGACACGCAGGTGACCTAATTGGTGGGTAAACTTGCGGCTGCAGACGGATGCGTCTGATGTATGTTGGTGCTCCAGGCAATGGTTCGCCAGACTGTGTGCGATGGATTCACAAGTGACCGACCAGGCCGTTGTGTAAGGTGAATGTATGAGGACAGTGTGGACAGGAAAAGTCGGCGGTGCCAGTGTCGGTTTCAGTGATGGCGGCGACGGTGGTGATGTAGCTTCTGATGGTGTGTGCGCTAGGCGGCGGGGTGTGGGTTGAGCTAGGCATAGTGGATGTGCAGGAGGTGCTAGGTGTGTCGAGATTGCGGTCAATTCCGTTCTCATGGATACGCATATGACCGAATAGACCCATGCGGTGAGTCCTTGCAGTGAGTGTCCTTGCAGGGACGGACTTGGCCTCCTTGTCGGCGGGAACCCGGTGCGACATCTTCATAGTGTGTAGTTTGGGTAGTCGCTCGTATTCCATCCGCGCGAGGTGGCCGCCCCACCACAGTTGCAACTGTCTCAGCGTGGCGTAGATGCTGAGAATTTCCGTCCGCTCCAGTACATCCATGCCAGGGATCCGGTCCTGCCACCTCGGCTTCAGTATCCGTCAAAAACAGGTGATTGGGTCTTCATGCCTGCTTAGTGTAGAGCATCCAGGTCTCTGCGCCATCATACCGTCGTGCAGCTAATGCACCATCTGAGTGAGTCGTTCGGGGCAGCCGAATTTCTGCACGACTTTCCACAGTCCTTCCCCATTCACCGTGTTTAAGGCTTTCGTCAGATCCACGAAGGTAGAGTAGGGGCGGCTCCTCGTTTCCTGACACTTCTCCTGCAGTTGATGGGCGGTGAAGATCATGTCCGTAGTCCCAGGGTGACGACGGAAGCCGCACTGGCTTTCCGGCAATAGACCTTTTCCCAGATGATTATTCAGACGATTGAGGAGGATGCGAGCGAAGACCTTCCCGGCGATGTTCAGCAAGGAGATGCCTCAGTGGTATTCAGAGAGCTGGCGATTACCTTTCCGCTTATGGAGGTAGACGATTGTGGTGTCCTTGAAATCCTACAGGACTTCTCCTTGATAACACATCTCCTGGAAAAGCGCTGTCAGCTTATCCATAAATGGGAGCCATCATCCTTGTAGATCTCAACAGAGGTCGCGTCTGATCCGAGCGCTTTTCCGCTGGATAGCTGCTACACGGCCCTGATGGTTTCTTGGAAAGAGGGCGGGAGGTCGAGATCGGCGTTGGTCGTCATTTGCGGCAGACGGGCAATGGCAGCGTCGGAGATGGTGGAGGGACAGTCGAGGACACCTCGGAAATGCTCGGTCGAGCGTTGTAAGATTTGTGTTTTCTCAGTGAGTAGAGTACTGCCGTCGGTACGAGAAGAGGTGCAGTAGCTTTGGTTGGCCGACCGCAGACAGCTTTGATGGCCGAGAAGTTATTCCATTCGTTGCGCACCGCATACCCCTGGATCTCCTCAGCCTTGCGAGCCGTCCAGATGTCATGCATCTTGCGGAGCCGCTGTTTCACAAGGGTACGACTGCGGTAGAAAGCAGCTCCGTTGTCATTGGTGGGGCGGTCGGCGTAGGCTTTATGCAGACGGTTCTTCTCGGCGAGCAGATTGCTGATGACGGCATCGTTGTCATCGAACCAGTCCTGGTGTTGGCGGCGTGCGCGACCGAGGACGGCCAGGGCCGTCGACCGGACTGTGTCCCGCTGTTGACACCATCGGTTCTCCGCGGAGGCGTTCTCGTCAGCGGCGGCGACAGCGACAGCGACTGGAAAGTTGTCTGGCCGTTGAGCCAGCCCGTTGCTGAAATGGAAATGGTGAGCAGGTAAAGACAACAAAGCAATATCCAGCTTACCCGGGGGTTGCTTACCTTGTGGTCTCCTGTGAGGTTGTAGGCGAATCCGCATCTTCGAGATGACGAGGCGATGGTCGGTCCACCCGTCAGCACCCGAAATTGCCTTTGTCACCAGCACGTCTCGTTGAGCTCGCATCCAGACGATGAAATAGTCGAGCAGGTACCACTGACGCGACCGAGGATGCCTCCAGGTGGCCTTCTCTCGCTCCGGCAGACAGAAGAAGGTGTTCGTCAGAATGAGTCGGTGCGCTGCCGGGGAGGAGGAGCCATTGTCGTTGGAGCTGTTGAGACCATGTGGACCCAGCACTCCTCTTCAGGCAGCATGGTCTGTGCCGACGCGGGCGTTGAAGTCACGAAAGGACAATCAGCTTATCCGCCTTCAGCGCAGACGCCAGGAGGGAGTGCAGGCCCTCTTAAAATTTGTTTCTCGCCTCCTCAGGGCTGGCAATCGCGGGGGAGGGGGTGGAGCGTAGGCGCTGATGATGGTGGCGAACTTGCCTCCCTGGAGAGGCAAGAGGAGGCTCCTCAGGCGATCGTCGATGCCTTGCGGCAGACAGGGCAGTCGTCGCATGATGTCGGGGGACGTGGGGGGAGAGGGGAGATGGGGGAAAGGTGAAGAGACGGGATGAAAGGCTTTCCCACCCCTCTCTACATTAACTGGTTGCTGAAATATGAACGGTGAGCAGACAAATTCAGCCGATTGGCATTTCGCTTACAATAAAAACAAACAAACAAGCAGACAAAAAGGAAGCAGGCAGGACCAGTAAGAGCAAAGTCAACGGAGGAGATCCAACAGAACGGCATTTGGTTTTCAACACGGACAAACACAAACAAGCAGACAAATAGCAATCCAGCAGAGCAATGTTCGCTTACCTGGGGGTTCACTTACCTCGTGGCCTCCTGCGGTGTACCAACGGGACTGGTCACGATGACCGAACCAGCTACAGAAGCAAACCATCTCGTGCACCCAACATGGGGACTTCCAAGCATAAAATATACTCAGCACATGAACTAAGAACCCCCATATGGAGAGTATAATTCGAAACAACCACATCAGTACTCCTGCATGTCTACAATAGCGGCCACTCTTTTGACCTCTGCCGTGTAGTGGTTCTCCCAGAGGACCAGAAGTAATGCTTCGAAGGGTTTATTGTCAAGCAATTATATATTTTCCACAGCCAGCAAGACCCCCCATCCATACTCTGGTAAGTAGGCAGTAAGGATTCTCCAATTTTACTCCCATCTACCCCTTATTTAATATTTCACAACAATATTCTTGATTTTTGTGTTTATGGAGGTGGGTTTTCTCTTTTTTCCATCCGACTCTTAAAATAGTCGTTCTGTGCCCATTTCATGCCCATATCCAACCTATTTTTTTCTCAACGGCCAGTATTATCATCTTGAATTACGCAAAGCCGAGGCTTTACTGATCGATTCTTGTTATCTCGAATTTAGAACCCTTTCTGCATGCGCAACGCCATTTATGTTGAGACTTCGGGGCGAAGCTACGGACATGAAATACCGCATCCCTTTAGAATACTGCCGGCACAAAAACTTCAAAAAGCTTCCTAACCCCTAATAGTTTTCCATTTTTCCAACTCATTTTCCAGGAGTCGAAAATTTCCTGAAATCACTTAAAAGAAGCGGAAAATTTTGGACAATAAGAGGAGCAAGCGGCCATTGTAACACCTTGAAAAAAAACAGTTATCTCCATTGTCAATTTGGCCAAGGTCTTGCGCAAACTCTCACGACCAATCATCGCAGACTGCATTATTCAGACCGCCGATGTAACCGCCGCCACCGCCGCCGCCGCCGCCGCCACCGCCACCACCACCACCACCACCACTACAACAACAATCTCAGTAATCGCTATTGTTTGATCCAGCAATAGTGATAACCTGGGCCTGATAGACATCTGGGCCATGCACAATGGCCCTGGAGACTAAGCGGGATAGAAAGTTAGGCAACAAAAGCAACAGGGCTTTGGTAATCAGGGAAAGTAAGCAGGGTAGCTTGTTGGGGAAAAAGGAACGCACCATCGATTTCTTCTGCGTGTTATGTCCAGCAAAGTCTATGGCGAGCGTTGATGATAGGTAGACGGCTCTCATTCCATTAAAGTAGCTAACCTATGTGTATTTTGGGTGAAAATAGCCCACCCTCTTGGCTGTACGCAAAGAAAAGTATGCGGTTCTGGCTAAAAGTACAAAATTGGGCAGCTGCCTGCCGATTAGGTGGGGCATTACTGACTGGTTGCCATTTTGTGACAACCTCATGGGTGGACAAAGAGCCCCAGATGTTGGACAGACTGACAGTTAAAGCAAATCGGAGATCAAAGGCAAGCGACGTGTCTGCCGTCGAAGTCCACGAATGCTACTATTGCTAGCGGGAGGCATCGACGAATTTAGCATTATTTGGACCACAGCGGGTGTGTGAGAGGGAAGGACTTTCGAAGCATCTACCTCGCTCTGCAGCCCTGCATACTGTGCTCTAAAATGGAGACTAGGAAGAGAAGAGTGGGAGGAGCCTGGGTGCACTGGCCAACCAAACAAATTAGTCTACTCTTACTTGAGCCTCGTCTTAGTGAAATTTGGAATAAACCACGTGAAGACTCGTCAGTGTAGCTGGTCCCCCACTCTTGAGTTACTCCATCGGTTGGCACTTATTCAAGTCACGGTTTTTACAGCAACGTTATTCGTCAACGAGACTTCAGATATACAGTAGGTGGGTTAAATCATGAAATGTCAACTGAAATTCCGAAATGCGTTTTCGTTTCGAAAAGACTAATTAAGTAGGGTTGTAAAACTAGTCAGCCTGCAACATAATTCTATATTATTTCAGTTACCTCAGGATGCCGTCTTTCGAATGAACTTCCTTCCCACTGCATGCAAAAACTACATTGTGCAAAAAATGACAACTTACGTAGCATGAATTTTTCTTATTGATTTTCGATGACCCTAAATGTCCAATTATATTTCATGGAAAACATGCATAAAAATACTCATTCTTTTGCTCATTCGGTAGATAATTACGTCTCCTTTCAACTTTATACTTGAAGGAGGGACATAATTCGGTTTCGAAAAAGTTTCTGATTGTGGGACTTTTAAATACCGTGAAATCGCCGTTCATAATTCATCATGTTTCTGCATTTACCAATGCGGCTTGTAAAGTTAATAATATGGATCAAATCCAATGCTACATTTTATGAACCCTATATGGTCTCCCTTTAGTACCGTAGAGAAATGTGTGGTTTTCCGTACGCGGGAAATATGCGGTTTGCAGTTTGGAAACCCTGAATTCAAATGTAACGGTAGAACGGGTTCAAAAGTATTCGGTAATTGGAAAAGTTTTTAAAAACCGAATTATACCCTTCTTTCGAGTATAAGCTTGGAAGAAGGCGTAATTTTCTACTGAATGAGCAAAAGAATGAATATTTTTGTGCATGTTTTCCATGAAATATAATTGGACTTTTAGAGACATCGAAAATCAAGGAGAAAAACGCACGCTACTTAAGAAGTCATTTTTTACAGAGTGTGGTTTTTGAATGCAGACGGAAGGAAGTTTATTCGAAAGTCGGCATCCTGAGGTAACTGAAATATTATAGAATTATATTGCACGATGATTGGTTTTACAACCCTACTTAATTAATCTTTTCGAAACGAAAACGCACTTCGGAATTTCGGTTGACATTTCATGAGTTAGCCTACCTTCTGTATTATGAAAATGAAAGGCCGCGCGGGATCGGTCGCACCTCCTTACACGCACCCGTATCCTGCGTGCCACGGGCGTGTTTAACTCCCATTTGTGACATAACGCGGACGCTAGACCTTTTTTAGAGGCAGCTTGAACGACTACGACGACGCCTACCGTGTGACCAACAGAGTGGGTGTCGCATTGGGTGACTTGCGCTCAAATCGCTCTGTAGTGAAGCAGACCTGCGCAGCATCTACCACACTCCCTCCTTTCTCATTCACTTGGCGCCAAGTACAAGACTGTTAAGGCAACTGAAGGTGAACTCGGACAATGTGGCTGACAGAGGCAAATAGCCCGTCAACGGGTGCCCCACGTGATCTTGTTCGCGCAGGAGAGACGAGGTTTTCATAGGTACGACTCCGATCTCTCACTAGTGAGTGCCACAAAGCCCACTGTAACGCACCGCCACCCGAACAAGTTGTTGAAATGAGTGAAGGACACGGAGGCGCGAACCTAGGGTGGCGATGGTGTGATGGAGTGTCAGCGAAGACGCCGGTGCCCCGATATGGATCGGGTGAAGGCCCCCAAGCATCTGTGGCATACAAAGGATACCTACTATACTTATTTAAGTGGGTTTTAGTCCGACACACTTATTTCGGTCTGGTGTTTCATCGTAAAAGGTTGAGTCGTCTGTTGTAGACGCTCTGGTGCATTATATACAATGACCTCAGCTCAGAGGGCTGAGAAGCCATCGTTGTAGACGGTCTGGTAGAATATCAACAATGACAGCTCAGAGATTTGAGAAACGATCGTTGTAGACAGTTTGGTAGAATATCAAAAATGACCTCAGCTCAGAGAGTTGGGAAGCGATCGTTGTGGACACTTAGTGTTTATTTTTTTAATTGTCCTGCTTAATTCCGGTTGCTATATGTCAATGCATTAAAAATTTTCCGCCCGAAAAACGAATTTACTAATTATCTATACTTACTTATTTTGCCATTCCTCTATGCATACATAGGCCCCACCCGTAAAACTCCTATTACCACCCTCCCCGTAAGACAGACACCTTTGACTAGTCGTGCGTGCTTGGGGTCCTTCACCCTATCGTTGCCGATGTTCCTTCCATTCTCAGTCGCTGACCCTCGTCGTTGCAGTTATTGTCGGTCAGCATTCCCACGTCCCTCTCCCGCAGTTGCCTCCAGCGCTGTACTCCCCACCGGTGGTCTAACAGGCACAACAATACACCCTCCCACTCCAGAGAAGACTGCAGTGCATGTACATCCCTTTTCTATTTCAAATTGTATCCTTATTAACCGTTTAGTCAATTAATGTCTGAGAATATTCTTCTTATGTTTATACTTCTCCTTTTGGCCTTCTGTCGTTGAGTGGCACCCCAAGCGCACCGTGATAGATTCACGCACGTCGGATTGACTATAGTGAGGAATGAGCTAGTTTGAGGTGTTGACCACGCTCTCTATTCCCTCTTCTATGCTCCGGCGAACGGTCGAGGCCTGCCAATCAGTTGATAATGGAGTTGAATGCTGTGGCTGACTTGGCGTGGAGACCTGCGTCTAAACATGACATTACACCCCCCGACGTACGACGGTAGTCATGGAGTAGCGTAATAGCTCCTTCTTAGGTTAGCAAAAGTAAGAGATCCGGGTTGATAATCTGAGGAAAATGAACTGCTCACCGGATCAATGGACTTGCATGGCTGATCGCTACAACGAGAGAGACAATCCCCTGCAAACCGAACATCTCATGGAGCTCTTACGGTATTGCCTAAAAACATATTTCACCTTTGATGGACAAATTTATGAACAAATCAAAGGCACCCCTATGGGCTCCCCCATATCAGGCCTGATTGCTGAAGTGGTTCTTCAACGGATAGGACACTTGGTATTTACCAAATATCAACCAAAGTTCTGGGCTCGTTACGTCGATGACACCTTCGCCATTGTCAAATCATCTGACGTGGAGCACCTCAAAGAATTACTGAACTCGGTTGATCCAAATATCCAATTCACTTTGGAAGCTGAAACAAACAACCAACTTTCCTTCCTCGTTGTCCTTGTGCGTCGGTGTGCAACTGGGCAATTACAAACTACCGCTTTCAGAAAAGCCACCAACCAAAGACAAATACTACACTTCAACAGCAATCACCCTCTCTCTTACAAACGCAGCTGTGTCCGTACTCTATTCCAAAGAGTTGAATCACACTGCAGCACACCATCCGACAAAAGAGTCGAACGACACTACCTCCATGACCTCTTTCGAACCAATGGATACCCAAGCTACTTCATCAAGCAAAGCAAGCGCCGAGTGAACAGACGACGGCCACAAGAAGAACAATCCGAAGTCTGGAAGGCTATTCCTTACATTAAAGGAGTCTCCGAGGCGGTTTCACGACTGTTACAACCCGCCAGGGTAGGCATTGCCCATCGACCCCAGGCAATAATTCGTCGCCGTTTGTTGCACCCTAAAGACATACTGCCACCAACTGAAATCTCAGCAGTTGTCTACCAAATACGTTGTAACTATGGAGACTGCAGCTACGTTGGGGAAACCGGACGGAAATTGCAGACCCGCCTGCATGAGCACAAACTGGCAACTCGGAGACTAGACCCAAACTCACAGCTTGCGACTCACATAGGAGAAACGGGCCACAATTTTGGCTTTCAAGGAGCAACTGTCTTAGTTCGAGGCACATCAAGGACAGAACGTCTCACACTTGAGGCTTGATACTCAGATGCCAACTCCATTAACAGGCATCTGGACCTCTCTGCGGGCTATAAAGTCTTACGTCATTACATACGCCATGACGAAGATAAGACAGTCATACGGAGCCTAAGGCTACCGAGCAAACACGGCCTGTCGACCAACTCACCCAAAAGGGGGGCGCAAACACAACTAACCCCAATTGAGGTGACGACACACAATACAGGAGGCCACCAACACTCACAGGCGACGGCCGGTAGGCCAAGGCAGCGAAAGAAGAGAAGAAAATCGATCGGCCCAAGGCCAACTAATCCCTCTGTCCATTCCATATCATGATCGATTTTTGCACTAGACCCTTTGATAATGGAGAGCCGCCCTAGCTCTTCGAAACGTCAGTCATGCAAGTCCCTCGTTTCGGTGAGCAATTCATTTTCCTCAGCTCCTTCTTAATGTGGCCTCCGTTTAACCCCACTACGTGGGACCCGAGCCCGGTGTGGCGGCACTCCTAGGGGCGGCTCCGGCCACGCCAACCACCTGCGCCCTCTCCCATCTCCGGTCTACTTGACTTGGTCATGATACCGGACCCAGGTGGGATAAGAGGAGAGAGCGTATGCATGAGGCGTTGCGATATTAATGAACGCAACTATTAGATGTGACTGTGCTCAACTATCACGAATTCGTCCTCTCGACTTCAAGTAAATTTTCCTGCGTTAGCTGCTATTAACGCGATGCGGATACTTTGGTTACCGAAATACTGTCTCGAGGCAAGATGGAGGCCATCAAGCAATCTGAGTCCATCTAGTCCTGATCGCGGTTTCGTTCCAATCCAACAGAGCAGTCCCTCCATCGGTGCGAGCACCCGGCATCCCTCCCACTTTCTGATGTCGTACCTCCATCACCAATGCTATGTCATCCAATTCAACCAATGCCGGCTGTTCAGACTGGCCAATCATCTTCGAGACTGAGTCGGGCATGAGATGGCTGAAGGCGCTGTGGGACTGCCCCACTGTCTTAGACTCGCGGCGTCGGACGTGTCCTCGTCTGACTGCTAACGTATATCAACCTCTTTTCTGATACAGCATCCCCCCCAACTGGCGTCCCACTTCATCATTTCCTGTTCGGAAACGGATCTGGGTGCTCGTAGTGGCTGGGGTCGTTCTATGGCTTTAGCCGCCGCGATAAGTGCGATATGTGCTGCGCAAGTCTACTATCATTGTAAACTAATTCATGCGTAAGTCACCGTCCCTGCTCTCACTATCCTGTGAAACGCACGATAGACATAGTCGAAATCGACGGCCACACTTTCACGGGGTCGCGCGGACCCTGCGCTGGCCCAATTAACGTGTTCCGTGAGTCCGTCTGGTCGCCTTATTGACCTAACGTATCTGCAGTGCAACTCGTTGTGTGTGCCAAGACCTGGCCACTGACTGAAGGCCTGTCTCCGGATGGCATGGACATACAGTAGAAAATTACGCCTTTTTTCAATTCGACACTCGAAGGAAGGGTATAATTTGGTTTTATAAAACTTTTCCAATACCCGAATAATTTTGAACCCGACCTGCTGTTACACTTGAATTCAGGGTTCCAAACTACAAACCGTATAATTTCCGCGTATAGAAAACCATACATTCCTCCAGGGTATTAAGAGGAGATCATATGGGGTTCATAAAATTAAGCAGTGGATTTAAGCCACATTGCCTTGTTTAATTTCCGAGGAAATTAATGCGCGAACTTCGAGTGAATCTTTCGAAAAGGGCCTTTTCAGGCACGATCCAAATTTTGATATGAATATTTGAGCTGAAATCCATCAGCTACTGCGGAATAACCGCTTAATATTCACAAACCGCCAACAGGCAGCCAGTAGTATAGAACTGTGCAATGATTTACCGCACTAACAACACAGGTATTAGCTAAAAGCCCAGACACGCGTGTTTCGCCGATCTTATGCCGCTGCCTGACGCAGCTGCGAGGGATTCGGCTCGTCAGTGGGTCCCCCAGCTTTTCCCGTGTGTTTTCTGGTATATGGCAAGGCAAGTTTAAACTGGAGTTCATATATCAGAAAACACACGGGAAAAGCTGGGGGACCCACTGACGAGCCGAACCCCTCGCAGCTGCGTCAGGCAGCGGCATAAGATCGGCGAAACACGCGTGTCTGGGCCTTTAGCTAATACCTGTGTTGTTAGTACGGTAAATCATTGCACAGTTAAGCCACATTGTTAACTTTACAAGCCACATTGATAAATACAGATAGGTGACGTTTTATGAAGGGCCATTTCACGGTATTAAAAAAATTCACAATAAGAAACTTTTTCACAACCGGATTATGTCCCTCCTTGGAGTATAAAATTGAAAGAAGATGTAATTTTTTACTGAATGAGCAAACGAATGAATATTTTTATGCATATTTTTCATGAAATATGACTGAATCTTTAAGGTCATCAAAAATCAATGAAAAAGTGTACGCTACTTAAGTAGCCACTTTTTACGGAGTATGCAGTCAAGAGGAAGTTTGTTCGAAAGCCTGCGTCCTGGAGTAAATGAATTATTATAGAATTATGCTGCATGATGATTGCTTTTACATCGTCATGAATTACTCCACCTACCGTACCTTGTTGAGTTAGCTTCATCCAAATCATCACTGTTGCCTTTTTGAGTCCCCGGACTGGACCATGGAGGGCATGTGTGACTCTAAGCCTTGCACCCCATCACATTTCGTAAACCGTTGGTGAAATCCCTGTAGTAGGACGAAAACAGTTGCCTCAGACCATGGACAACAGGCTTACTGAGTCTACCACGTTTAAAGGCTGAAACAGGTACCGCCCGGTAAGTACAATGAGTGACCGATCTGATAAGATGTTGTCTGAAATTCTGAAATGCGTTTTCGATTAGGAAGAATTCCTTAGGCGCGATTGTATTACTGATTATCTTGTGGCATAATCCTATAGTATTTTGGACTCGGCAGGAGGTCAGCTTTTGAGTACACTGCTTTTCAATCTCCTGTAGAAACCGTACTCGACAAAAAATGATTACTTAAGTTGCATGCACTTTTCCCGCTGATTTTCGATGGTCCTGCAAATTCGAATATATTTCATAGAAATCACGAATAAAAGTATGCTTTCTGTCAGTCGTTTGATAGAAAATCACGTCATCTTTAGATTTTATACTCGGAGAAAGGGTATAATTAGATTCTGAAAAAGTTCCCTAATTGCCAAATAATTCGGAGCCTGATCAGTCGTTTCATTAGCGCCTAGTGATTTCAGTCTACAAGGGGCGTGCGTCCCGCGTAAAGAAAATTACATATTCTTCTATACCTTTAAATAGATACCATAGAGGGTCCATATAATTTTGCAATGGATGCCGATCATGTTGCACTTTACATGAGGAGCAGTGGTAAACGGACAGGCACGATGTTGTATAGATGGACATTGCGCGGTCTTAAAAATCTCATAATTAGAAACTTTTTCGAAATCTAATTATTGTCTTTCTTCGAGTATAAATTATAAAGCTGACGTGATTCTCTATCAAACGACTGAAAGAACGAATATTTTTGTTCTTAGTCTCCATAAAATGTATTTAAATTTGTAAAACCATCGAAAATCAATGGGAAAAGTGCATGCTACTTAAGTAATCATTTTTTTGCCGAGTACGGTTTCTACAGGAGATTGAAAAGCAGTGTATTCAAAAGCTGACATCCTGCCGAGCCCAAAATACTATAGGAGTATGCCACAAAATAATCAGTAATACAATCGCGCCTAAGTAATTCTTCCTGATCGAAAATGTATTTTGGAATTTCAGCCGACATTTCCTGAGATCGGTCACTCAATGTAAGCGGCTAATTTTCACAAAATGAGATTACCGAGAGTGCAGTCGTCGTTGGCAGTTTTACCGATTAGCATAAGGTAATGTGTGCACATGAATTTATTAAGGCAGGATGTCTTGTGGACTGTTTTACTTGAATAAGGAGAGTCGTTCTCCAAAAAAGTATCGACACATTTTTATTCAGGTCATTTACCATGCTAACGCATGCAGAAGATTAACAGAAAAGCGTGTTCCCACAAGTTCACACTGGTGCAGGCAATCCTTTAATTGAATCGAACGTATATGAGCAGCCTTCGTTCTGCCCGGCATTTAATTTTACCGTCTTCGTAGGCTAGATAAAGTCATGCGGAAAGTTCAATATCTTCATCCTCATTGTCGTCCTCAAAAACGGGGCCACTCCGGCCCTGCGACACTTTTTGGCTATTCAAGGCATAGCAACTGCACGGCAACTGCATGCTTCAGCACCTGATCAGTTGGAAGGGATTGGTAGCCAATACAAATGATTGTCTAGACTATCGAACTACTCCTACCGGACACATACGATGAAACGGAGGATCGGCTTGGGCACGCCCAAACCCTCAAGTATCTGCAGTTCTGCTTCAAGAGTTACTTTACGCTCGGCGGAGCAGTCTATGAGTAGGTGAGGGGCACGCCAATGAGTTCGCTGATTTCGGGACTCTTAGCCGAGGCGGTCCTACAACGGCTGGAGTCGCCAGTTTACCGACAGTATGGACCGAAATTCTGGGCTCAGTATGCGAATGATACCCTCGTCGTCAACGAACGTGACTGGGTGCAGGAATTCAAAGAACATCTTAACGCCATCTTCCCGGACATCCAATTTACGATGGAGGAAGAGGGAAACAACCAGCTGGCATTTCTTGATGTTCTTGTCTGCCGCAAAGATTGTGGTGGCCTAAACGCCAAAGTATTCAGGAAGGCGACAAACACGACGCAAGTACTGAAATACAACAACAACCACCCAATCAGTCAAAAACGCAGCTGCGTAAGGACACTATACCAGCGCGTGGAGACACACTGCAGTGTACCGGAAAACAAGGTTGCTGAATCACAATACCTTCGACGGGTATTCAAAGCCAATGGCTACCCGCGAAACTTCGTCATCCAGTACCTGCGCTAACAAGACGAGAGACGAAATCCAACCGACCCCAAATTTTGGCGAGCTCTCCTGTACGGGAAGAATGTCTCGGAAGCCCACAGCCGCCTTCTTACACCCCTTGGAATTAGAGTTGCACACAGACCGGAGGCAACCATAAGGCGTCAGATCATGAGGCCGAAAGACCCACTGCCACGGCAAGAAACATCTGGAGTCGTTTACTCCGTCTGGTGCAGCGGAGGGCAAGGCAACTATGTCGAAAAAACCAAAAGGCTACTGCGGATGCGGATGACCGAGCACGCAGCAGCGGTGAGGAGGAAAGACGCCAGCTCCCAAGTCGCGGCTCACTCGACCGGACCCAACCACACATTCAAGTTTGACGAAGCAGAAAGTCTTGCTAGAGATGACAACCGCGTGGGCCGCGAGCTGCTCGAGTCATAGTTTTCTGGTTCTCAATCAATCAACAAGCACGACGATCTCCCCACTCCAGATTCGGCGCTGCGACTTTGTCTAGGCAAAGTATTTAGCCGCGAGGAGGGCGTGTGGATGACTACCGATCCTGCTGTCAATATCGGCGAGCCAAATCACCCAAGAGTCCACTCGGATGACGAAATCCGGCCGTCACTAACTCGACTGCATGCGATGAGCGTGGGAGTCGATAATCTTGACCGGCACACAAGGGCATAACAACGGTATGACTGCTGCACGCTTCAACACCTGGCCAGTCGAGCTCTGGTGCACTCGGAAGCTGCCAAATGTGATAGGCATGTAGCGGCCTAGCAACTACATCCTATAAATATTGCAACACCTGAGTAATTCACTACCCTTATCTGACTCTGTCCCTGATGATGAATTCGAGTGAGAATCCGAAACGTGGGGCTAATTAAGTTCTTGTTCCAGCGATCGTGTCTCCTTCTTCGCCGTTTTCTTAACCGACAAGTGAATGTCGACGACAGGACTGCTGTTTCCGCTCCGACCTGAGGTGGTTCAGTAATCTCCAAGGGGGATCATCTATGGTCATGATTTGCGCCGGATCAACTGTAAAGAGAACGGACGGGACGTTAGCAGGTCCATGGTTCTGGATCTTGCAGACAACCATGAAAAGGCAAGAGGTTGGCACACGTTTACGATTCTACTACTTCATTCCGAATAACCTATCAGTTGTAACAACAAAAGAAAATGTTAGAGTTTCGAATCAGCTTGTCCTAGCAAATGAGTGACATTATGCCCTTGCGTCGAAATTGCATTTAGCAGGAGGGAGACAGACTGACATCTATATTGTAATGTTTCACATGAGACAGAAAGTGACTTCAAGATAATCTGTGTCGCTCAGACAAACTGAAAAAATACTGTATCTGTCTCATTGGTCATCTCGGACTGCCTGTACCATTCAGCTCTACTTCTGGACATTTCTTTCTAAAAAAGCCATTTATAGCAGTTAGTGTAAGTGCTATTGACGCAGTCGCGGTGATTGGTTCAAAAAACCTCTCCCTTGTTCCAGTCACCCCTTTTGTTTACTCATGTTACTGGATCGAAGAAAAAGGACTGAATATGGAACGTGAAGGGAAGATTGATACCTTTCTGGGACAGTAGTAACGGACATATGCAAAAACGAACTAACAATTCTTTTTCGGAATTCCCATGTGGTGTGGTGGAAGTCGTGCTTACGCACTACGCAAAGCTCCACCCACGCTCTAGTTTGAAGGACTCCCCTACTAAGTGTTTCACATAATCGTTCTAATCCCTGCAGCATAAAATTTCCACAATTCTCAGGGGACGTAGGATTTCGTCATTAAAGTTGCTGCACCCGGAAAATTGCATTTTCACAGGCTTTCTCCTCGCAAGCGTTGACAGGAATTTGTTGCAATGGTTTAACCGCAGCTAATGGGCTCACAGCCGGGACGTTATTCGTCACACGGAAAGAATTTTCGGCTCCTTCGCCTTCTTCGAAAACAAGCCCCCTGATGGTAGATGGGCATTGTAACAATCCACTGTTGCTAAAAAAAAATATTGACCCACGAGATCATGGGCGGTCATGTCTGATAGAAATATACTTTTGACCTCAGACCACGATTGCAAAAGTGAGAAAACAACTTAACAGAAAAGTGTTCCTTGCGGGACTGTGTACAACCACCCTTCGAGTTCCCATGAACAGTCTCTAGCCAATAGGTGACACATGCGACTCATATTATTGGAACTGGAAGTGCCAGTCAGAAGGCGGAATGAATTATCCATACTGACCCAACAATGAAAAAAACCGGTACCTCGGTGGGATTCGAACCCTTGAGATCAGGAGAAAGCCTTTAGTACAGCCAATGTTCTAGCCAGCTCAGCTTCAAGACCTTATCGGAAGACTTGAATTTTAATCACATTTGGGTCAAGTTACCGCGTGCACAAACTACTGTTAATCGTTGCGTAGGCTTAACCAAGAAGATAATATTCGACTGAATTAAGCGGCGACGCGGAGGTGGACCTGCACGTTGTGGCTGATAGAGCTGAACAGTCCATCTACGCGTGCAAAACACGGCCTGGCCCATCATACCTCACATACTTGACTTCCTTCTCAGGTGCCGCAAAGGTCACAGTGGGGGGGACGATTTCAGTCCGACTTTTAGTCCACAGAAGGGCTGAGTCACCCCGACAGTTTGCAACCTTCCAAGCCGAGAAGTCGTAGAGGTCGGATGGTATCAGCAATCACTACTCAGGATTTCGTGAGAGCCTGTGGAGGCTCCACACTGAGCTCATTATCATGTGGATAAATAGTTTTTTTATCAATAATGGTTTGAGTGACAAACCGATCGTCATACTGTCCGAGGCGCCGAGTTTTTCACAGTTGGGTCAGTATAAATTATTCAAAATCTGCTAAAACATCCATTAAGGAATGGATTATCGTGTGAGTGCGGCTCTGTACACGCAGAAGCCAAGGGCGTAGGCCGTGGAAACTATTTATTGCTACCTCTATGGCCCTTATTTTCTTGGTGTACTGGGCCCCGGGAAACTGAGACGACCGGAATACGACCTCTACGAGGGGCGGCAATGATGAAACTTAATATTTCATGAAGTGCTTAAATGAGGCTGGTCGAAAATGACCTGCCTAGACGGAAATACGGTGGTGATCTCAGATTGGTGATTTACTTTAGAATACTGCTAGAGAAAAGCTCGGACAATTGCAACATACAGCACTTGACCGATCTCATAAAATGTTGGCGGAAATTCTGGAATGCGTGCTCGATTAGGAAGGGTTACTTAGGTGGAATGGTAATATTGATTAGCATGCAGCATAATACTATAGTATTTCGTACTCTCCAGGATGCCGGCTTTTAAGTGCACTTCTTTTCGACCTCCTTCAGAAACTACACTCGATGGTCATATAAATTCAAATGTATTTTATAAAAATGTGCACAAAATATGCTTTCTTTTGCTCCGCGGGTGGAAAATCACACTGTTTTAACATTCTATACCCGAAGAAAGTCTATATTTAGGTTTTGAAGAAGTTTCCCAATTCCTGAATAGTTTCGAGCCTGATCGGCCGTTGCGTTAGCGTTTAACGATTTCAGTCTACAAAGTGTATGCTTTCGGCGTAAGGAACATCACATATTCCTCTATGCCTTTAAGAAAATACTAAATAGAGCTCGTAAAACTTTGTAATAGATGCGGACTATGTTGTACATTTCATGAGGAGTCTTGATAAACGGACATGTGCGATATTGTGTGTATAGACATCGCATGGTCTTAAAAATCTCATAATAAGAAACTTTTCCGAAACCTAAATGTACACTTTCTACGGGTATAAAGTGTTAAGACAATGTAATTTTCTACCTCGGAGTAAAAGAAAGCTTAATTTTATGCATCTTTTCTATAAACTCCATTTGAACTTATGTGACCATCGAAAATCAATGGGAAAAAATGCATGCCACTTTAGTAGTCATCTTTTACCGACCGTGGTTTCTGCGGGAGGTTAAAAAGAAGTGCATTTAAGAGCCGAAATCCTGCGATTACGAAATACTATAGGATTATGCTGCGTGTTAATCAATATTACCACTCCGCCTAAGTAATCCTTCCTAATCGAACACGCATTACAGAATTTCGGCCAACATTTCATGATATCGGTCACTCACTGTATGTGATCGCATACTGTTACACTGAGAAGACCAGAATAAACCTTTCGTTTCAACTAGCCATAAGAGTACAGCATCAGCTATCCTCGGGGTGTTTCCAGTCAAATAGGCCTGCCAGTCGCCAATTCCCTGTTGAGAAGGCACTGACGATGACCAGGAAGTTCGAATGGTCAATGCATGCATCCTATGCAATTTGGACTTGTCGAAAAGGATGAAGTTCGGAGGGCGGGCCAGACCACAAAATTTATTTGGTGGTTGCCTATCCCTAGAAGCTTGGATGCTATGCGGCCAGGTAGAGCAGGCTGCGCCGCCGCCGCAGTCCAAAAACGGGGCCACACTGACACAGCGCATGCGCTTGTCTGGCGGCGCGTGGGCTCGGGAATAGCGAACGGATCGTGTGTGGCACGCGTAGACGGGTAGTTCAGACTTGTCAGCCGCCGCACCCAACCTCATCACCAGTTGGCTGACAGGTTCTACTGATGCACGGAAGGAGGCGGAGAGATTGTGACCGACGTTGGGTCATCCAGCCTCATTATACAGCAGCGGATTCCTCACCCTAATCCACCTGACATGCGTGAATCTACCCCTTCGGGTTTAGACTCTCGGCTTCGAGTGACGGGATAACTCGCTACTTCTCAGGACTGACAGTCAGACTGCACTCGCTCCCCCTCACTGTGACGTTTACGGCATCTGTGAATGAAGCCAGGTGCGCTAGCTATAACAAGTCGGGCCGTGTTTGGCACGCGTAGATGGACTGTTTAGCACATCAACTTCCCCGTCGCCGCTTAATGCAGTCGAACGGCGTTTCCCGGGTTAAGACTACGCAAAGGCACTGGTTGCACGGAATAACAGTAGTTTGTGCTCGCGTCTACACCCAACTGCAAGTCTGTATTATGTCATGTGCCT